TGAAAAATTATATTTTATTTATATGTTATGCTATGTCCTCTATAGAGGACACCAGGACTCAGTTTTTCTAAAAATAAAATGACAAGAATAGACATGAAAAGGCAAAAACAATGGGAATTTTTTTTAAATCACCAATCAATTTTTAGGTTTCAGGATTTTTTTATACCTAACTTTGTTTAAGGATGGTTCTCAACTATGTTATAAAATATATAACAAAATGATTTGATATACCATTTTGCTTTATGAAATATGTGTGTAAAAATTCCATAAACTGGTATTCCCATTAAGCACAATGTTATCTATACACTGTATCTAATTTGCATATTAAACTATTCAATTCTTTTGTCTCCCAAAATGTATAATAAACATGCTTTTAGTCCTGGTGTCCTCTTTAGTCCTGGACATGTATGAAATTATGTCCTGTTTCATAACAGGAAGTCATATTTTGATTTGAAACCCCATAACATTTTCCTGAGATGTTGATTTATGACAAACAATTTGAAAATTAATCAGATTTAAATTGTAATTACAAAATATTATCATATTTCCATAAGTATGTACAATTTTATCACTAAATTAATGTCAGCCATTTTTAAAAACCAAGGAGAGGGAGTGGTCATGGTGAAACATCCAATCATTTGGTATCTCTGAAAAGCCCTGAATGTGCTCTGTACAGGACATCCAGACTTTCACTAAAATAAAATATAATGTCCACTACAGAGGCAAAAACTCCATAGCTGGGTCTCAGGAGGCTAGACATGTAAAAACGTAAATGTTAAAATTGGTGAGATCTACAACAGAAAAATTATGCAACATCAAATAAGGTCATGAGTAACTTACAGTACTTATGAAAACAAAGACAATTCTGACTTTCAATACGTCACAGAAAACTTAAAAACACATGTACTTGACCAACAAATGTATGATGTTTTTCCATTTTTACAGTGACGTGTACTTTTGACTTTCATTTTCCAATGAGATGAACAAGTGCTAATGCAAGTAATTACCAACCAAAGATGATTATTAATGTACTGTCAGAAACGCAAACTAGCACATACATCTACATTAAAAAAAACATGAATACAGTCACCATACACACACACACACACACACAATAACAAGCATTCAAACATGATAGGATAAGATCACATTTATTTCCTCAGTGCAGATATACCAGAATATAAATACATTATTGACAATTATTTTCTAAAACATGACATCATTACAAAATTTGCGGTACACCACATTAGTACCTCAGCTACAGCCCTACACACCAGACAACTTGTTGATATGCTGAAGAAAATATGGAGAAGCAGATCAAGTTTTCTTTCAGCCAAGCAACTTCAGTCCAAAACATTGTTAATCCCAAAGACTTTGCAGTGCTTTCATAGTCTCTTGCGATAAGAACTGAAATACAATTTGGAATGCATTAAAGTGAACAGTGAAAAACAATTCTCTCCAGTTAATCAAATAAAAACCAGACCCACTTACAGGAGGGCAAGATCATGAGCAATTCATTAAGGAGCCTGGCTCAGCAATTTAACAGACTTTTAAATCATGCATGTTTAAACTCAATAAAGACGCCTAGCACAATCAACACAAAGTTACGGAGAGGAGTGTGTGTGTGTTTTTGTGCACGGAGGGGTGTGTTCCTCAGGGAGAAAACCCACTGTTCCAGCTCAGCCCTCCATTTTCTGCGATGGCAGGGGCCGACTGGGTCCTGCGTCCTAATATGGCACAGCGGAGAGCAAGTCATCTTGGGAGATCTGCTCCCTTGAGAGCGCTAGCCCTTAACTTTGATTTCAAGAACAGAGCAGTTTTCCCACAGGAAAGAAAAAAAGAATGCTTTGGCATCATAAGGAGAACAAAAACAAACAAAAGCTCTCTGGCATCAAAATGTCCCAAAAGCTGAAATGTTTCCTCCAGCTTTTACCCATGACAGAAATGCCATCATCTATGAAGCAAAACATGCAATGTTGACACCCATGTAGGCAACATTAGAGCTTCATTCTCATTTCAAAACATACAATTCCATTTGTAGTACATAAAACCAACATACAATCTTACTTACAATATCCTTCAGACAGCAGAAATAACCAATATCTACATTATCTGAAAATACAGACACGCGTATGCCTCAAGATTTGGATTTTCACAGCAATTTAAGCAGAAAACCCAACTTCAGTTTCATTTTTATAGAAAGAATTAACTGGCGACTAATGGAAAAAGACATCAGAATCAGAGCAACAAATGGATGGTTTCACAAAATTCAACCGATCCGAATGGTTAATACACAACCGAGGCAGTTTCTCAAGCATGACCATCAAATCTTGGCCGTTTAATTTAATCTGATTCCTTTAAATGAATACGGGCAAGGTTTCTCAGGACGAGAGGGGGGAAGCAGTCTTGGGTGAGTCCAGAGCTCCAGGGGCATTAAAAAGTCCAAAAAGCAATCAAGACGAATGCTAAAAACAAGTTCTTAGACATGCGTCTTTGTTCTGTTTAACGCACATACACATCCATGCACACACACACGGTCATGTGTGATCAATAAAGCGATGAATGGGTAAATGGATAACAAATTCTTTCAGCTCTGGTTTAAAAACAGCACTTTGCCAGAGGCCGCAAGATCAAGATCTACATTTGAACAAACAAGCTGGGACACTTGGAAAAAATAAAAGCCCTTTTTCTATTGTGTGTGATATGTTTCTATCGCTCTCCATCTCTATCTAGTGAGTGGAAGTATTGCACAGCGCCCTGCCATGACATGGCAGTTCAGACTTTATATGTCTCCTATCAAAATCTTGACCAAACACTTAAAGACACATAGTCATAAGACACTTCTTTGCGTCACAGTATTACAATTATGAAAGCAAGTCTTCAGTCTTTAACTGAAGTGACGCGGCATATAAACAAGATCCATTTCTGACCGTCATAAAACTTGTTTTGGTGGTAAAATGAAAGCATTTTTCCATGGTGTCATACAAAAAAAGTATTTGGGAATATGCCACAATACATAACCCTCTCCAATGAAAAACATTCTCTTAAAACAATTTAAGAGAAGGTAAAGGTGATAAATACTATTAGATTAAATACAAAAAGGAATGCAGACTGTTTTTATAATAACATCTTACTACAAACAATCAATCCATCCGACAACAATTGATTAATACATTTTGTGGTTCCTCTATATATATATATTAAAAAAATAAAAATAACAATTCCATCAGAGGACACCAATAAATATTGATACTTTGGTCAGACAAAGCTATCTGCATAAGAAATCATTTTTTAACAGTACCATCCAAATGAGCGAATTTATCACAGCATGAAAAAAAGACAAAGGGCATGATTTTCAATGCCCTCAATTTTCTTGGCACCTCCACATATGAATTATGTACATGTATCTATGTCATAAAAATAAATAGTACAGCGCAGTAAGATGCAGTTCATTGTTGTTCTGCTTTTGTGTGTGAGCACATGCAGGACTCTTCAGAAACATCTGCCTTAAAACTTTGACCTCTGCATTCTGATATATCAGTTTCAGCAGCTTTTCTTCTGACGTCCATTTTATCCATTAAGTGTCCTAATTTGAATACAACAATCTTTTTGGTTCTTGCCAACATCAGCAACCTTTACCACTGCGGCCTTGTTCATCTTAAGGATCCTGTGACGGAATTAAGCAACTGACATCTGTTATGGTCACGTGTTACTATGTTGTGCTTAACTGCATTATACAATATTTTAAGTGTGATTGTGCGTTTGGACAATGCATTTGGACAGATGTTCCCCATTCCCCTAAAACGCATTGTAACCAGTGGACGCGAACCAAGCATGGCAAGAGAGTTGCACACGACTGACACTTCAGGGCAGAGGGCAAGTCCAAGAGTCATTCTGTCCAGCAGATACTCCAGCAATACACCAAGTAGTCAAATAGATTTTTTTTTTCAAAATGACTTGCAGGACGGTTAGCCTATAAGAATTGATACTATGGGTGGGTTCCAGCTAAGAAGTTCATTTCCAGTGTGATCAAGGTTTAGAAATGAGTCAGGCAGAATAAGTCGTCTGTTTGCTGTTTTAATACTGCATTTTTTTAAGGATGGTGTCCTCTAACTGGAGGCGTGGTTATGTAGTCCCTTCATGGCTTTAAATAAGCAGAAAATGGGAAGTCCGTGTAATCTTGGCATTGCTTGGGGGCTGGGGTCGACTTCTGCTCTTTGGGAAAACGGCTTTTTAAAAAATCCAATTGTGATTGCAAGACTTGTCATGGATCCAAAGACAAAAACCACTAGCAAACACATTCTTCCACTGAGAGCAGGGTAGTGATCAGATTATCCTCACAAATTCCGAGGAAAGACTTAGATATTACTAGTAAAAACATAAATAAGATCATGAGTCCAAAACCAGGTAAGCCCTTGGAAATGCTTTAAAGTCTTTGTCCAGAAGTATTTCTAACATCTATATTATTTAAGGTTTTAGATCAGTCTACCAGGGATCTTTCTTTTTTTCCCTACATATGAACAAATGTAAGCCAGTTAACAGGAGAAACAGAGACTACTTGTTCTCACTGTTCCGGCAATATGATCAGAACTAAAAGTCAACAGTCCACAAAGGCCAGCAAATTTGCCACAAAAGTCACTGAAAGACATGAGTTTGCCTTCAAGAAGACATTTGCTGAGCAGGCAGCTCAACTCAGTCTTTGCTTTAATGTCACTAATAAAAACTATGATTTTTGCATACAGACAATATTTAATGCAATCTAAAGACTTCATAATCACAAGAACTAGATTTTTCTTCTTTCCTCTTTGCTTAATTTATACTTGCAGCAAAAATTGCTGATAATTGTAAATCCGCAAATACCGATGAGAATAGCCCATTCTCGCATAGCTGTCCACTTCATCTTTAAAGGCCAAGGTCAAGGGTCTATTTCTTGCTGTCAGGTAATTCTGCAACTATAAACATGACCTTTGTCAACTTGCCCCACCTGGCTAGAACTGGGACAGTGCACAGATGCTGAGACAAATCTTCAGTATCTGCTTTTAACTTGACATGACCCTTGCCATCAAAATCAAGCTCACTTGCCAAAAGATGGCATTACACATGGCAAGCAGGGCGCGGAGGTGCTGGTGGATCTCCTAGGGGCTTCTTGGTGTCGCTACGTTGCAGACAAAGCAGGCAGAGGCGCTTGAGGCCTTTGCGGAAGGCGCTGTTCGACAGGCTGTAGATGAGACAGTTGCAAAAACTATTGCTAATTGCCAGCCATGTGGTCAGGAATGAGGCAATGGCATGGTGGTATATCCCTGCACTCTCTAGTAAAAAGTAAATGATGTAGGGTAGCCAAAGCAAGTAGAACACACTGGTGATACGGAACAGCACGGTGGCATAGCGTTTGTCCGTGCAGGCTTGCTCACCCGGCTCGGGATCCTGTGGGCCGAAGCGAGCTCTCCGCTCGCTGATCTGCCGAGTGTGCTGCCGACAGATCCGAAAGATATGGGCATAGGTGAAACAAATGGTGAAAGCAGCTGGTGCATACAGGGCCGCAACAATAAACGTGGTAAAAAGGGGCTGGGTGTCCCAGGAGGAGCACCATTTAAATACATCACCGTGGTATCCCGGCTTGCCCCAACCAAAGAAAGACGGCAAAAAGATGAGTGCCGAGTACAGCCAAATAAGGGTAATGCAAGTGCGAAGACGGCAGGGTGTGACCAGAGCAGTGTAGGAAAGAGGTCGGGTGATGGCAACATAACGGTCAATACTAACGCATGCCAGAGAGGCCATGGAGACACTCTTCAACACGCAGACCATGTAGCTAAAGACCATGCAGGTGAGTTTCTCGTTCACACCCTCCAGATGGTGCAGGAGGGACAAAGAGGGAATAAGACAGCTGACCCCAACCAGAAAGTCTGCATACGCCATAGTCTGTATAAAGGAGCTAGTGGTATGGTGGCTGAGAAGCGGGGCACAGTGGAAAACAAAGATAACCACCAGGTTCCCGGAGATGATGAGCACTGTCAAGAAGAGAATAACAGCTACTTCCAGCAGGCAGGTGTTGAAGATCTGAGAGTAGCCAATGTCCAGCAGGCAGAAGGGTTCTGTGCTATGGTTTAACTCAGTTGCATTCATCTTGTTCAGGGTGTGCTTGGGCGCACAATTAGGGTGCTAGTTCCTTGATAGCCTAGCTCAGCAAAGGCTGCCCACAGTATGGCTGACATGGGCAAGGTGTCCGTGCCCAGGTGCCTTCCATATCAGCAGCAACATGAGCCGCAAGTCCACAGGAATCCTTTCACCAAAGCACACACATGCAGCGACAGTATCCTAAAGAGAGTCACTTACTACAAGCTGTTGTGGAGGGTAGCTTAAATTCTGGATCAAGCCCCAACAGTAGAGGACATAAACACCCCCTCTCTTTTATCAGTTCCCCACCTTTCCGGGGAGAAGCACAGCAGCAGAAAGCGGAGAAAGCGGAGTCCTTGCCACTCTGATCATAAAAGTCCCAGTTGCTCTCACACAGTTATTAGTTCAGAGGATCACGCACAACAAAGCAGCGCTGGAGATTCCTCAAAATAACGTAGTCAAATAGTTTATTCCTTCAAATCCCAAAAAAGGATGCAATCCAGAATCTGATGTCTTTGCAGCAACTTCAGTCGTCCATCAAACGAAGACTGGGGAATCTCTTCAGCGTGTGCCGGGCACTCAGCTCCCTCACATCAACGTGGAGGAAGTGTGTGTGATCGAAGATGAAGGAACAGCAAGTGGTGATTGGCATTTCAAACGGAGAAGGGGCTCTCCAGAGAGAAGCCAGCGTCTGGAATGTAAATGAAGGATAGAGTGGTGTGATGCAGAAAGCAGTCTCTCTCTCTCTCCTCTGTGGCACTGATGCATCCTCGCTCCTTCCTTCCCTCTCTCCCTCCCTCACTCTACTGCAGCAGGAGCACTCAAACTCCTCCCACCCTTGGCTCTAGCCAGTGAGCAGATGTCGGAGCACGAGCAGAGAAGAGGCATCCCCTTTCCTTGTCAATCCATACACTCCTTCACCCCAATCATACCCACCTTTTCGTCTCTCACAAATATGAAAAAGGCCTTACCTTCAGATTTTTACAGACCCCTTAACACTGTCATTCGAATGTCGACCCCTTAACACTGTCATTATCCTTCCTTTTCATTCTATTCCAATCACAATTCCAATGCAACATCCCTCCAACGTACTCACTCTCTTTTCCCCCTCATATACGGACACATGCAAAAAACAACAGGAGGCCAGAGTGTAGCCATTTCCAAGGTCCCAGAAATAAACCAAGTACATACATTTCTTATTAGATAAACTAAAACTTTTCATGACATCATAATTCAAATTCTACCCGCTTTATGCAGTATTGTGGCTCCTATGTTAAAGGAATTGTTCACCCCTAAATGAAAAGTCTGTCATTAATGACTCACCCTCATGTCGATTCAAAGCCTTAAGACCTTCGTTTATCTTCAGAACACAAATTAAGCTTTCTGACCCTACATAGACAGCAATGCAACTACCACGTTCAAGGCATCGGAGACTGATATGAAAGAGAAGAAACTGTTGAATAAAAATTATTCTCATAGCTTCATAACATTATGGGTGAACCACTGATGTCACAGACTATTTTAATGATGTCCTTATTACCTTTCTGGGCCTTGAACGTGGTAGTTGCGTTGCTGTATATGCAGCATCAGAAAGCTCTCGGATTTCAACAAAAATATCCTAATATGTTTTCTGAAGATGAATGAAGGTCTTACGGGTTTGGAACAACATGAGGGTGATTAATTAATGACAGAGATTTCATTTTTGGGTGAACTATCCCTTTAAGTAACACACCAATTTTTACCAAGAAAGGTCCTTCTATACACATTAAGAAGCATTAAATCAGATGCACTAATTTTTCTTGTGCATTTGTTTCATGTATCAACATGTTATCAGATAAATTAGGTTCAAAGGTGACATCTGAGATTGGCATATGTAGTTAGAATCCGTGCATGTGGGCAACCGAATTACTAAGTATATTGTGGTATGATTTGTGCCAGTTTGGTTGTAGTAAATGTTGACAATACAGATTTACTGAACTCTCGAGTCTTTCCCTAACACAAATAAACCCTTTTTCCATTTATATCACCTTTATTAGTCCCTGTTCCCTGTCACCACGGTAATATTAAAACTATAGCACCCCTTTAGCCTCCTTTCATTCTTTCACTGCCAGAATCTGCAAACACTCACACACAGTCCCCACTTTCACGCATCCCCTCAGTCAGGCACACGAGGGGCTAAAAATAGGCCAAACTTGAAAGGTGGGGAGCGGACGACACTGGGCTCATCCATTAGGAGGAGGACAATGAGGAGGAAAGGAAGAAATAAAGAGGAATGGAAGGGCTGAATGCATGAGATCGAATGAGGCGACAAAGATAAAGAATATTTAATTTGACACAAATGAGGCTGTGAAGGATGGAAATACAGTTTCTTCAATGACACTATTGCGTACCTGCGTGTCAATCATTCTGGTAAACCACTGAAGCACTCATTATCTGCAGACCGTCAACTCCAAAACACAGGTCTGCAGTATAACCGAGGATCATATAATCCACAATTTGATTGGTGCATGAAATTTTAAATTAAATTAATAAATAAATACAAATAAAACGATTTATTTATATTTTTTACAAATAAAAATTTTTTTTTCTCATAATCTTCCACTTCCTCTGCCTCCACACCAACTCTCATCAATGGCTGACATTGCAATCCCTCTTATTTTTAACCAATTATTACAACAGATAAAATTCCATCCTACATTTATTTCTAGTTCAATATGCATCTTCACTTACACAATCAATCACAATTAGGGATGTTCATTTCGGTTATTTTTCCTAACCGACAACCGACGCTCGTTAACCAATCAGAGCACACCTCGCTATTCAGACCGATGAGCTATGTAAAAATCGACGTGTTTCAGAAAGGCGGGCCATAGAGGAGAAACAATGATGTACAGTATGTGGAAAATAATGTGTTTTTTTAACCTTAAACCGCATAAACACATTTCATTACACCAAATACACAAAATAATGTTCTTTTTAGCAACATCATATGACCCCTTTAAATAATAAATTAAGAAAACGAAAGGAAAAACTGTGCAACAAATAGCCTAGTATTCAGAGTTTCAGTTCATTTTTGTGCTGCGCGAAAGGAAACCAGAAGGCAGAAAGCGGCATCCTATTTTTCTTTAGGCTTATTTTACAAAAGCACAAAGATTTGTTTTTATTGTGAATGTACACAAATAAAGGCAAACCTTTTACAATTCCGATTATCTTTATGACTAAAAGGAGTAGTTGCTTACACCGTTAGAAGGAAAAAATTCAAATGATTGCACCGGCACCGCATGCGCGCACACAGTTAAGCATTGCTACCTTGACAATGCAGCCATCTCATTATCATTATAAAATACAATAAGTCAAACATATGGAAAAAAACACACTGCTCAGTTTAAATATGTAGTCAAATCTGTGCCGTTAAGTGTTATCACCGTACCGCCGTGAACTATGTTATGCAAACCATTTGGTTTTACGTGGATATTGGAATGCGAATGAAGTAGGATACATAATAAATAATATTTTGGCATTCAAATACATCGCAAATACGAAATATTTGATTTTGTGTGGAATGAGAGACACAACGTTGGTGTCAGTTAGTGTTTTTTTGGCGGCCTGTTTTAATTTTAGTTTTAGTCTTTGTGTGAAGCTGTCATTTTAGTTTTTATTAGTTTTAGTCACGTTCATACTCTTTTTAGTCTAGTCAAGTTTTAGTCAACTAAAAGTCTGAGCATTTTAGTCTTATTTTAGTCAGAATTATCCATGACTATTTTCGTCTAGTTTTAGTCGATGAAAATTGTGTTTTAGTCTCTTTTTAGAAATGCAATTCTATTTAAGCCAGTCAATATAGTATAAGTACCTAGTAGTATAGACGAACCCAAAATTTTATTTTAGCCAAACCCATTTCAAACAAGGTTATCTTATTATATTATTGTTACCTTATAGACTCAAGAATACATCCATTCCAGACACGGAAGACACTCTGATTTGAATTTACAACATTTATTTTACCAACCAAACATGTTAGAAGTACACACACACACATTTTAATAGAGACGAACCCCGGCTGGCCGGCCGGCCATCGGTCCCTTTCTCTGTGTCAGACTTAACTTTGTTTGGTTTTCGTCTTCTAAATCAGTGTTTCCCAACCTTTCTTTAGTCGCGGCACCCTTTGGAAATTTTAACAAATTTGTGGCACCCTACAAAATTAATTTTGTCACAATATTTGAATTGATAACTTCGATGTGATCATTTGAAAAGTATAGATATTCGGTACAACAGGGAAGAACTGCAGAATATAACGTCATACAGATATTTTTAATATTATTAAAAAAAAATTTGTCTATCAATGGTGGCAATCAGTAGGCTAATTTCTAATGAAGAGACCAATTTATATGACAGATTTTAATGTAGACTTTTATTCATATGTAAACATTGTGAGATAGCTAGTTATACTAGTTTATAACTTTGTTTAAACAAAGTTTTGCTCACTCAGTGTATTTTTGATTTTACAGCTGGGTAATTTTGTTGTAGCATGAGATAGCTTGATTTAAAACTTTAAAATTCTTCACGGTCAGTTAATGGTTAACCGGTTAAAATGAACATCCCTAATCACAATCCATCACTGCAGAGGTAAAATGCATACTTTCATACTGACAAGAATGAACAGAACTTCAATCTATCACAGTCTACATGTCAAATGAAAATGAAACTATCTTTTCTGACTAAGTCTATAGGAGAAGATAAGAGAAAGGCTGTCCCTATAGTGATGGGAAGGTGTTAGCCAAGTCCAGCCTGACTCAGCTGCTCTGTGAAAACACAGTAAACACAAACAGCACATACTCATCCCTTCATGTAGTGAGACAGCAGCTTTACATCAGTAGTCAGTCAAACTCTCAGCCTCACAAACCTGGATATCGCTGCTGCAGCAGAGACCAGCCAGAATCCTGCTGTATAGACCACCCACAGCCTTCCTCCATAAACCCTGCACAATCCCCTGGGTCTAGACCATTCAGCGTGACATTAACCCCACAGAGCAGCGAAGCTATTTTGGTACAGACAAGTATGCTACTATGTGCCATATTAAAAGGTCTTCTATTGAACACAATGAAGCTTGAGACTATCTGTTCCCTATTTTGTTAAGTCACGCCTGGTGCGGAGATGGATATTTATTGTGGTGTGTTTAGAATGCTGGGACTTGAAGTGAGAAGAGGTGCAGGCTGCCGCAGACTAACAGGCCAGGCTTTGTGTTAACCGTTTGTTTTTATTCACCGCATGGGGTGGTGTATGAGGAGTGTCTAGAGAAATCTGCGTGTATGTCTGACCTCTGCGTCTGTGTTTATGGACACTGGAACATCTGGTAATAGTATGAGCCAAAGAAATGCAGCCCGACAAACATGCTCGGGTGTGCAGATGGGTGCAGAGTGAACCAAGGATCCAAAATCTGATGCTTGTTACCATGTCAATGGCAGACAATTTAATATTCGATTAACAAAAACAGAACTAGAGCCATGTGAATGGGGATTGGGTGAATGGAGTCCATGCCAGTTTGCAGTGCATTACTGAGTTGATTGCATTTGCAAGTCACCACTTTAAACACTTAAAGCTGTCTGAAATGCATAAATTACGGTCACTTCTGTCATTACAAATCACTGCTCGTGTGAACGTCTCTTGACTTACGCCCAGTGGGTGAAGTTCAAGCCTTTTCTAGTCACACAGGATAAAGGAAGCCACAATAAACATTGTGAAGTGCAGTGAAGAGCAAGTCCTTAACGAGGGACAACCAGTTTTCACATTAGAGACAAATCACTTTAAGGCACAGACTACTTTCTGAGAAAAGTGCTCTTGAATGTTGTTTGGGAAAAGGCCGAGACTTCAGCACAGTAAAAGCTCCTGTTTTCATGAAAATATCCCAACCACTGTGAGGAACCTTGGGGACATGGTGAAATGATTGACAAGGTACAGTACATTGACGTGTCTCCCTCGGGTTTAAACCAGGGGTCAAGTAGCACAACTGTACAGAGTTCACACACAGAATTGCTAAACGGGAATGTATAGCGAATATATAATGCTGCTGCTGGTTTATGTTCTCTAAAGTGAAGGATGCACAGAATCAGCACTCCAGAATGAAAAACACCAAGCTACAAAACTGAACGTTCACAACACACAAAAGTAGTGGTCGACCGATATATCACCAAGGCCGATATATCGGCCGAAATTTGTCATTTTTCAAATATCGGCATAGGCTGATACGTTTTTCTGTTTGGCCGATGTGTTCGAGGCGAGATTTTATTTTGACGGCGCCAAGAACGGCTGCGTCAGCGCCTAAGCACACAGTGCTCACATTCTCCATCTTATTCGCTGTTGTCATTCAGTTCTGTCTAATACGGATAGAAGTCTACCTAATAATCAGATAGAACTGTTAAACAAAGGACTTAAAATGTATACAAAAAAATATTATAACGATTGCTTTAATATTATTAAAGGCAAATATTATAATACTTTCTCGTTTGCCGTCAGCATTCCGCAAATACGGAATGAATTTTCCCGCATATTATTGTACACAAACATATAAAGGGATAGTTCACTCAAAATATGAAAATTTGTTGTTAAGTGTGAATTGAATACGGACAGGAGGAGAGATCAGCTTCACTGGAGACACTCAATCGACAAACTTTAAACTCGTGACTGATTTCAAATTATGCTGCGCTTTATGCATTTGCCCACTGTCATATTCATGTCATTTTCACTGTGTGCTGTATGTAAAATGAGTGTTACCTTGGCTTTATTTGAAAAAATATGATTCCCAATGCACACAAACTTCACAGATTACTTAGTGCCCTGTTGGTTACAGTGTTTACTTCCTTTTTAATTATATTTTTATTAAATATGTATTTATTTGTGAAAAATACTTTGTCTTCTAGAGTATAAGTATGTTTATTTTACACGTTTAATTTTTAATACATTTTCAAATTTCTTAAATATGAATTAAAATAAATAAAATTATATCGGCTTTATATCGGCCACCCTGCTTTCCAAGATATCGACATCGGTATCGGCTGTCAAAAAACCCATATCGGTCGACCACTACACAAAAAATGTTGTAGACTAACATCTGCATGAATTCATAATAAAAAATAAATCAATAAATGCTAAAAAAAATTTTTTTAAAAGTCACTTTACATTTACATGTTCAGGCTCCGACTAGACAATGAGGTCTGAGAAACAAAACAACTCTTTGTACTCGAGTCTTGCTTTGTAATACACTTTACTTAGCCATTAGCAATCCAATGCTACTGCTAATCATATAAAATGCCTCTGCCATTACTAGACTATCGAGCGGCTCTCAGGAACTCAGGACCATTTCTATCCAAACAGTGTAATGCAGAGTATTACGATAGTGTGTTATGCACTCTCTCCTGCCTTGTACAGTGAAGACATAATTACAGCCTTTTTCCGAGAAACTTTTGACGTCCAATCCAAATTCTTTAAAATATTGAAAGATGGCCTTTCATATCTGAATAGGCATTTGTTGGTCATATTAAGCAAAAATATGCACTACATTTAAGGCTAAAAAATTGTACTGTGAAGAGAGTTGTGCAATAATGCTTGTTGGAGCCATGATGCATTGAGCTGTGGTGTTCATTTGGATAAGGTTTGAGTCTGGCTTGCAACATGAACTGATCCCACCCCTAACCTCTTTCTCCAAAATTTCCAGTGCCCTCTGGACTACATAACAGTCTAATATATTGACTTCTAAAAGGTCAAGATTCTGTTTCAGCTTTTATTCTGGAAAAGACGTTGCTACTGGAATATTTCTGCAAGTGATCCGCCTATTGCGAATACACAAAGACATGCATTTTCTTTAACTGGTAAACTCTTCTAAAAATATTGGTGATACTCTTGTAATTTATCAAAATGTACTTTCTGAAAGGAATTTAATAAGTCAGACAACAGAACATCTCTCCTCATCAAGCTGGTTTTTGGGTATCATTCATATCTACAGCACAGATGGTGCGGGACAAGTTACACATAAACGTATAAAGGGATAGTCCACCCAAAAGATGAAAATTTGCTGTTAATTTACTCACCCTCAGGCCATCCAAGATGTAGTTGACTTTTATCTTCAGTAGAATGCTTAGAGAAGATTTTTAGCTGATACCATGTCTAAAGCATATAAAGTAGTGCTGGGCAACGATTAATCGTGATTTTTGTTTATATAATATATGTGTGTGCACTGTGTACAGACACATACAGTATATATTTTTTAAATATTTACATGTATTTACATGCATATGTTTATATTGATATAATTTATATTATATATATTTAATATATAAACAAATTATTTTCTTATATATACAGTACATGCATATGTATTTATAAATATACACAGTACACACACATATATTATGTAAACAAAAATGAAAAATCGCAATTAATCGTTGCCCAGCACTAATATAAAGTGAATAAACTAGTCTTCATCAGCTCACATTTTTACATAAATCATGAGAAACGATAAAACTTTAATATCAGTGACTGTTGGAGGAACTGGGGCGCTGAATGAGCCAGTATTTAGGCTCATATCAAGTCGGAGTGACTCTTGGACATCTGAAAGTGAGTTTTGATTAAGTAATTTGTAGATCAGTGCTGGCTTGAACTGTTTGCCCGAGGCTCTGGATTACAGGAAATAACATTGTAAATAATGTTCGGTTTCTTGCACAGACCGAGCGTTTCGCTTCATAAGACATCAGGAGCCACACGTATTAATTTTGTGTTGCCTGACATGCTTTTTTGACTCTCAAAGTGATGGTAGCCATTAACTTGCATTTTATAAATCACCAAGGATCACAGTTTTTTGCTAAAAAATCATCTTTACTATTCTACTCAAAAGTCATCTACATCTTGGATGGCCTGAGGGTGAGTCAAATCAACAGCAAATTTAAATTTTTGGGTGAATTGTCTTTTTAAGGCCATGTGTCCTCCAAAGCATAAAAACAATACCATGTGCTTTTCTCAAAATAGCTAGCTTTGTGCAGTTGAGAGCGCTTCAGAGGCAAAAAGTTTCTTTCAGTTGAAATGCTTTGTTTGCTATTATACAGAATGTCTATGGAAGTAGCGTGGCAGACACATCACAAATAAAATGCTTTTTTAAGCATTAGTTATCATATCACTATTGTGGTAGTCTGTGGGTGCCATCTGTTACAGACATTAATACTACATGAGACAAGCAATATTAACTTCTCTATTGTTGCTCAGTAGGATGCGGTGTCGGTGTGGCATTTGTCCTGCCCTTCTTCAATGTGATTGGACGGCTGAGTAAAAAGTGACAGTGACAAGTGCTGCGTTTTACTCAGATTTGAAATTTTTTTAACTCTTTGTGCCAAGTTTAGCGTGAAGCAGACGCATATGTTTTTTACATACGCAGCACACCCATTGAAGACAACTGAAAAAATACGCTAGACTCAGGGGGAAAAAAACACTTTGGTGGACAGACGGCCTAAGGCATACTTAAGGTTAGAGATTGAAAAAACAGTTATATGAATAATTAATTGAGATATATGATCAAAATTTTTGATCCACTGATAATGGAGAAAATGCATTAGATTCAATCCTTTGCTTTGCCTTATGTGATCAAATGTGCCTCTGGTGCACTGAAGTGGAGGATGGGAACTGTACGCCTACCTTAGTGATGAGTGTACGGTACTCCTCCACCAGATGGTCATTGTTATGACATCCGGCCAGTAACTGCCACACCTCCCCTCTCAAGGCCTCTGGGACACCACTGCGCACCAGCGCCGGGAGCTGTTTGGGTCGAACGGCCAGGTTCAGATGCCTGATGAAACATTACAACTCATGGTTATAAATGAATTACAGTACTTCCATTTAAGACGGTCCAAGAAAATAGTCCATGTGACATCAGTGGTTTAACCGTACTTTTATGAAGCTACGAGAATACTTTTTGTGTGCAAAGAAAACAAAAATAATGATTTTATTCAATGATTTCTTCTCTTTCGAGTCAATCCGCCGCCATTCATGCGAGTACCATGATATATGCATGTGCATTCTTCTGCTTTTAAAAAAAGGCACAGCACACAGAACCACTGATGTCATATGGACTATTTTAACCATAGGACAGGCCTTTCTGGGCCTTAAACATGGTAGTTGAGTTTATGTCTATGCAGGGTCAGAAAACTCTCGGATTTAATCAAAAATATGTTAATTTGTGTTCCGAAGACGAACGAACGTCTTACAGTTTGGAACGACATGAGGGTGAGTAATTAATGACAAAATTCAAATTTTTGGTTGAACTAACCCTTTAACACAAAATAAATGTGATTTGTATGCTTTCAAACTTTTTTCACAGGTTCGGCAATGCCATTCGGCAAAATTTCACAAGTGAAATCTATTCATTTCATCCATTCAATGCATGTGATTTGAAATTTCAAAAAAAGGGCAAAATATTAGATTTTGCTAAGAGTAGAAGTTGAAGTAGATTTTGCAAAGAGTTAAAAAGTTGGTCACATTGACCAATGGAAGGCTGCTTGGTTTAAATTGACTTCTATATACGCCGCTTCATACATGGCTACACTATTGACAATAGACCTTTTTGCCTGTGCATAAATATGTCCAAAAACACTGCAGACGCCGGCGCTGATAGCCTCATGGTTAGTGTGCCAACCATAGACTGTATAAAAAAATGCACGTAGTGATGACACCCGTAGGTTTCTGAAGAGCGTTTTTGAAGCTAAAAGTGGGCGGAGCCGGCCGTCGCCATCTTGGCAGATAATCAAAAATGGGCAAAGAGGCGGGAGCTGGTTGCTGAAACCACGCCCACCTAGCTCAACGGTGGTGAAAGCAGTGGCAATCCACCTGTCACTCAAGTGGCCACGCAGAATTATGCAGAACTTTAAGGCTTAATGTAATTTAAACTGATGAGTTATAAAAAAATTTACCCTCCTCACAGTTGTCATGAAGGGCAAAATTAGCTATATAGACCAAAACCACTTTTTGTACCAGGCTGTAAACTAGGGCTGGACGATATGGCCAAAATTTATATCACGATATATTTCTTAATTTCGGTCGATACGATATAATTCTGATATCGATATGAACACTATTTAAAAAGCCTCATAAAAACGGCCAAGAACGGCCGCAACAGATGTCTGTACCTACAAACTTATGAAAAATTAATCAACGGTGGTGAAAGCAGTGGCAATCCACCTGTCACTCAAGTGGCCACGCAGAATTATGCAGAACTTTAAGGCTTAATGTAATTTAAACTGATGAGTTATAAAAAAATTAACCCTCCTCACAGTTGTCATGAAGGGCAAAATTAGCTATATAGACCAAAACCACTTTTTGTACCAGGCTGTAAACTAGGGCTGGACGATATGGCCAAAATTTATATCACAATATATTTCTTAATTTCGGTCGATACGATATAATTCCGATATCGATATAAACACTATTAAAAAAGCCTCATAAAAACGCCCAAGAACGGCCACAGCAGATGTCTGTACCTACAAACTTATGAAAAATTAATTTGCCAACTCTATGAAACCTACTCCTATAAAACTATATAATATTTTAGGAAAAAAATGGCGCAAAAAATTTTCAGCTTATATTGTTATTTAGCCTTCATACAAACAAGAAATGTGAAATCAATTTAAAATAAATCTCAGACTCTCCTTATTAATATTAATATGTTTTACTTCAAACTATAGGTTAACATACCAGTCAAAAGTTTTTGAACAGCAAGTTTTTTAATGTTTTTTAAAGAATTATCTTCTGCTCACCAAGCCTGCATTTATTTGATCCAAAATACAGCAAAAACAGTAACATTTTGAAATATTTTTACTATTTAAAATAACCGTTTTCTATTTGAAAATATAATTTATTCCTGTGATTTCAAAGCAGAGCTTTAGCATCATTACTCCAGTCACATGATCCTTCAGAAATCATTCTAATATTCTGATTTGCTGCTCAAAAAACATTTATTATTATGATGTTGAAAACAGCGGAGTAGATTTTTTCAGGTTTCTTTGATGAATAGAAAGTTCAGAAGAACAGCATTTATCTGAAATAGAAATCTTTTGTAACATTATAAATGTCAAATGTCAAAATCAATTTAAAACAATTGAATTACTTTCATTTTGCTAAATGAAAGTAATAATTTCTATAATATACATTTTAAAAAGAGCTTTTGAATGGTATAGTGTATAATATTACAAAAGCTTTTTATTTCAGATAAATGCTGATCTTTGGATCTTTCTATTCATCAAAGAATCCTGAAAAATGTACTCAACTGTTTTAAAAATTGATAATCAGCA